ACAGCGGCATATATTCCCCCACCAACCTCTGCTTGGAGAGTAACTTTTATTACATGTCTGCACTGGTGCAGGTAAAGCCAGTACATGGATCAGCGAAGGTTAATGTCAATGAAATCCAAGGTCTTCCGATGATCTCTCAATGATTTTAATGACCAATGGTTTCTGGTTGCTCATTGGTTGCCCAACAGTCTGATAATCTCAACACTAAGGTATCTCCGTACAGATGGTCTTTGTCTGTAACGTAGGACAAAAATAAGTCCTACTGGTATTCCAAAATGCATTTTAATATTGTTTTGAAAAATTTGAAGCTGGCAAAAGACCAGAACTGAAATCTGGAACATTTTAGTCAACCTGGCTACCAAAACCTTCGCAAGGATAAACACAATAATCAACCTGTAAACATTGCACTCTTAATTCCCAGAAACCCCAGTGACATAAAGATGCCTGGCAGGAGGGAATGGTATGTTTATAGACAGGTCTTTAATTTCCTCCTATCTGCAGCTCCCCAAAAAACTCAGTTGCCAGGGAGATGTGCTATGTTTCTAGATAAGCAGTTAGTGAATCTGTCCAGCTCAGTTAGCAGGTGAGCTATGTGCTTTTCCTTGATTATATAAGAGATGTTTATGACCAGAAATACTTTATAAGAATTTCTGTACAGTCTCAAATCAAGTACCAAATGTGCATAGTAGGCAGTAGTGTTTTGGTAATCTCCAAGCAGGTCTTTTGGTGGCCGCAAAGGACAGTATCAAATTGGCAAGGCTTCGGTCATTGGCTTCGGTCGCTAATGGACACTCCTCTGGCCAATGGATACAGCCTTACCACCGTATGATCTGCTTGGAGATTAGTGTTTAGTAGTTTTGGAGACTCTTCCCATGGCCTCAGGGGGCCAGTTTAACTTGGAACAGTTTAAGTTGAAGGTTATGTAAGAACAAGCCTGGTTCTCATCTGTAGTAGCTTAACCTGGTTTACCCTGACCCTAGGGCCTGCCCTGCTCACTAGAGCTGCAAGCATCTCCCCTGAATGGACACAGATGCCAACTTCGCTTCCTTCCATGTAAGCCAAGTTGGAAAGTCAGATCCTTGCTTTGAAGTAATTGATGTGAGAATAAAGAAAAGCAACAGGGTGAACATCAAAAGTGAGGTTACCATGCCAACTTGTTCCCATAGCAACAGATCCGCACCCAGTACATTACTCTGTGTTCACAGGAAAGCCATCTGTTCTTTCATTTTAGATCCTACAAGGGTACACATGCTGAGAACCTTGACTCCTAGCAAGCTTACATCAGAGAAAGCTGTATTTTCAGGATGTGAACTAGAACTCTTAAATGCATCATCAAAACTTAAATGGACTATAAAATAGAGGAAATGCCTCCTATTTATAGCCAGAGGGGGACGTAAAGCAACAGGATTGAGGGTTGATTTAGTTTCGGATAAAGAAGTTCTTCACGACCTTGACATGGGCAGTTTCCTGTGCCAAACATTCCTTGCAGGCAAAATGTTTCAACCAATCATGACGTGCAAGAACTGAATTTCTGAAATGTACCAGTTGGGACTCGGTAAGCTTTGTCATTTTTGTTTTTGCTACGACAACTTCTTGTTGTATTGTTGGGATTATCACTGTAGCTGATCAGCAAAAACATTGCTTGTCCTAAGGTCCATGGCAGACATTACATGATGTAGGTAGCCCCTGAAGCGACAGGCACTGTAAAATTGTTACCAGGAACATCTATACAATTACTGCCATCTCTCGAAGTAAGAGATGATATGCAAATGCCAGGTGCTCAGTAGGTGCAACAGTGCTCGTGCTTTGTGCAAAGGAACATTACGCAATGGCAAGTCTCGGGTGAGGGGTGGGGGGGATCGTCAGCTTGGGTCATGGGACCTGAAATGCATGCCCAGCATTGCAACAGTTAGGCCAGACTTTAAAAACAATGTTGAACTGGAGGAACAACATGAAAATAGTCAGAGGGAACTACCATCTGTACCTAGGTTACATAGCACTGTGGTCACATGGGGAGCGAATATTCAAGTGTAACTGTTACCACATGCCCAAGAATCATAGTCTGTCAAGGTCACATACATTCACTACTGGCCACCTGTTTTGTGTAAAACACTCCATTGCAAACAGGAAGTCAGGGTGGTTGGTACAACCCTGTACGCATCAATCATATTGCATGTTTTACTTCATAGATGTGAAAGTAAAACATGTTGATTGCGTGACATGTGGGTGTGTTTTGTATACATTTTTGTTTTGTGGTGGGAATATTTTTGGAGGTCATAGATTTTGTAGACGTGCTTGTGTGTTCCTATCAGAGAAAATGAGGAGTAGATTTGCATTTCCTACACTGGCCAATCAGCCTTGACATTGTAGTAAATTGGCCATACTCACAGTTAATCACTTTATCAATAGCAGAGATTTGATAGCATAATCTATTGTAATGATCTTCCTCTGACTCAGTTGCAATCATAAAGAAGCCAAATTGAAAGTTAACAGACTGTTGCTGTAGTTAATTAACTGGGAAATTGTGGCTTTGGGAACAAGCCGTTAATATTTCTTAGTGTGGGATGATGAACTTTTTTTTAGGGGATAGAAAGCACTGTGCATACTTAAAAGCAACTACTGGTAATGACTTTCATAATTGCTTTCTTTCCTTAGCTGATGATATACATTGTACTAAGTAACCCTGCTTATATCTGTTTCATGGTCATATGTAGGGTCCTTAGCCCTCCCCTGATCCCTAGTGTAAACAGACACTGACAGACCTGTGTGTAATTTCATGGGGGATGAAATGAACACAGCTATATGGAATATGTTTGTACAAAGATTACCTTGTGTTTCTTGGAGGCACATGTCAGGAACTGTGTCTATCCTCTGTAGCTGGTCATGTAAGGGATTTCTGTTTCTGATATTTTTTTTCTTGTTTACTGACATTACTTCTCATCACTCTTACCGTGTGACCAGAGGCTCAGGTACTAGGTATAGAACTGCATTGAAACATTCCTAGACTATGATGATACTTTTTTAGTTACGACAAAGAATCCATGGTATTGGTCGGTATAAGCAGGCTTTAGCTCTAAAATCTGAAACACGTGTTGGGATTACTACTAGTAGTGATCACATACACACAGGTGGATCCTGATGTCAAAACCCATCTATCTGTCTGATTGTGGTAATGACAGGGTTTAGTGCTGCATACAGCACAAGTTACATCCTTCAATGAAGTGGCTTTGTTTAGGCCATTTCAATCAAACACAAGAGGACAAAATGAGAAGGTATAAACCTTCCCTTCAGACTCTATCTACTTTCATGTTGATCTTCTACATTTGCTGGTAGCTCATCGTTGTGTTTTGTATGTATCTTGAGAATTACAGATTGAATTGGTGTTGCTTATGTTTAGAAGGGAAAACCTGAAGAGGCTAGAAGCTGGAAGTCTTCCTTTAGCCGGACACGGTCGGGTACCTGGTTAGTATGCCCGGTCGCTTGGCAGGAAAAAGCTGTGCAAACCTGAGACAGGCTGTGAGCAGCAAACTGTTTCTGTTTGCCACTTCTCTGGCCAACACTAGAGGGGGACCCACTCAAACACCCTCCTGCCACAGGACAGCTTATACATGTAAGCCGATGATCTGTCATTGTCAGCTTTTAGAACAGGAAGACACGCTCAAGACATGTCTTAGAACAGGAAGACAGGCTTAGGAGACATTCTCAAGATGCTGGTAATGGATGGGAGAGGTCACAGGGAGTAGAGAGCAATTTGCTTCTAATCCTGTCAGGGTCTGGGTGATGTAGTTTATATCTTTGGCTTACAGCGCACTGTGTTAGACTTAGAGTGTCTTGTGCAGGTGGCACATTATGCAGCAATATTACTTTATCTTGTGCAATCTGGGACCTTCATCCTTCATTTAGGTTTACCTTAAATGGTCTCCAAGCAGACTGTTAAGTAAAAGACAAAATTTTCTGACCAACATCTGCTTGGAGATATGAGCCTGATCAGCTTATACAGTCAGCCAGAGTTGCAAATGAAGTGCTGTGTTTACTGTAAAGATTCAGCCCCTGCTTGACCAATTAAAACTGCTTCCCTTGGTAACCCAAGAGGAAAATCCAGCAGGCTAAACTTTGGATCAAACATCCGTGGTCTACCTACTAGGTCATACAAATTTGATTTGCTCATTTCTGGAAAGAAAGAAACAGTGCTGAATAGGAAGATGAGTGAAGTGGAAAATCTGTATCTTGGTACACACTGTTTTGTGAGTGACTGAAATCAGATTCAAGTTTCAAGTTTCCTCTTAGACTTCTGTTTTCTTGTTAGACTCTTGCTTATTTCTTAAGATGTCTGAGAGCGAAGGATATAAATTGGTGTGGCCTTACCACTTAAGCATCAAATTAGATTCATGAGCAGCTCACTAGTTAGCTTTCAACCTGGGTTCTCCCCCTTCAGATGTAAATGACCCAATGATGTCAGAACGTACGCAAAAGGCACCTCGGACAATAGTGTGGGCCCAGTGTGGTGTCGGCAGGTCAGGCCCTGTTTGAAAAGGGAGTCAGTTGGTGTGCAGTCCATTTGACAGGCAGAATATAGTAACAGAATAAGGAGGATTTGGGCCGAGAAGTTTTCAGGCCGAGTGGGCTTATCTCTAAATTGAAGTGATGTTTTTGGTTTAAGGATTACCAGCATGTGGGTACTGCAAGGAATGGTTTCACAGTACGGCGGAGGTACGGGTTGCGGTACAACCTTTTTGTTTGTGCCCCAAAAAGGACCACAATTTTTGTCTTTTCTAGTTACGAAAGCTGCTAATAAGATGATGATGATGGCTGGTGCTTCATGTCCAATGATTCTAGGAAGGTTGTCCTCATCTGGCTGTGAAGCACGATGCTTGACCTGCAGGTTCTATGGCAGGATGGGCATGAGACACTTTGTACTGTTGATGACTGCTAATAACGTACCTTTATATTATTTGTACATATATAATCTAACATATCTTTTTCTTGTTGTGTTGTTGCAGACGAGAATCGCAGGCTGACATTGTCCCACCCCCGCCCACAGAGGAGCCCAAGCCTGTCCCGGTCCAGGAGAAGGGAAGCATGCACACCGAGTCTGTCACCAAGGTGGTGCAGTCCAGCGGATACGGGGGAGTCAAGCACAGAGTGAAAAAGTGGGTACCGAAAAGAAATAGAAATGCTATGTAGTAGCACCAGCATCAATAATAATGATGTGTATAGATGATTAGATTCAGTCTCAATAGTTATTCCTAGCAGCAGTTATCCAAGCAGATGTTGGATTGGAGAATTGTAACATTTTCAGACTGCAAGGCTTCGCTGTGATGTGACTATCAGAGAAGCCTGGGAGCAGGGAGAAAATGTAACATTGCATTAAATTTACCATCAGCAACATTCTTTTGACAGAGTGACCTATTTTCAAGCTCCCCCTAGTGTTAGATCAGGGACCTGCAGCAGCATATATACATGGACAAAGTGCTTGTCACTGGCAGATGCTCTGGTGATGACTCTATTTGGATGACCTGATTTTGTGCTGAGTGCCCCTTTGCCTTGAGGTTTCTGTAGTCAAATTTTCCAAAATCCAATCAAGACCACATTTTTCTGGACAGGAAGGAAGAGAGGCAACAGTAACACAGGTATGAAGTTTTCACGTTGTAAAAGTGAAGCTGATATTGTCAGGAAAGGAAGTATCAAGATTAAGACCATCGGCTTTACTGGGAAGCTGGGAAATTCAATTTGTGAAATCTGGGTATTATGGCGAGAGGTCAACCACTAAGAGGTCAGAAGGGCCATGGAAGATAACAAGCACTTGGTCTGGATATTGTCTTATGCCGACTATTTTAATAGCTTTGCTGAAAAAGCTCAGGATGTTTTGACTATCACTGTTGTTACATAGAATGAATGTCTGGAAAGGAATTAAGATCAAATTTTTGTCTACTTAGCTGTGCGCTGTAAATCTTTTTGTACCTCGGAAACTGGATTTTATGGATGACATCTGCATGTGTATTGATTTTATGGTCTAATCTGTTTTCTGCCGTAAAACATGAAATTTAAAATCAATGTCTGGAGATGTGAAGAATGCCCCTGCCTGAGTGTTAAGTAGCAGCAAATTGGAAAGACCTTAGGAAGGAGCTGGTTTCTGGCGAGTTTTCTGGCCCTTTACCAAAATCTGGCTGACCTGGACTTGATTTGGGTTAGGACTCCATCCATGCTGGGATCTTTGCCAGGGCTGCCAAATGTGGTGTGGTCTTATAGTCTGATGGTAGACGACTACAAGGGTAGAGTTACTGCTGGTAGACCTCAGAGTAGAGACATTTTATGGTAAATCTATGGTAATGGAATTGGAAGGAAAAGCATGTCCAACTTTGCTGGCTACTATTTGTGACATCACCTGGTTGCTGTTTTCAAGTACCTAACAGTTGGCACTATACATCATCAGTACTGGTATGTGTGTGTCAAGTATTTTTTTTTGGAGCAAGACTTGCGAAAAGCGCCTGATAAAGTAACATTGCATTTACATCTACTTGAGATTCTTTTAGTGAAGTTGGAAAATTGTTTAAAAGAGTTTAAAAGCTTATTGAAAAGAGAAGTATGTGAGTAAGGGTTGTCAGAATGTGTCCGTACGCGTGTCTGTAACAGATGTGTGATGTTCAATGATATTGTTTCTGACATTTTTTCAACATTTCATATCTCCAGTTTCTTCTGTTCACAATACAACAGTGTGCTTGCCATCAGCTAATGTTACACAACTTGCGACTCAAATCTCAAGGTCACATCCTCATATTTCAAGGTCAGAAATGATGTGATGACAGTTGTGCTTGAACATGTACTGAAAGCCTTTTGGACGGTTCTAAATTTGTCCCAAAAGACCCGAGTGTCACTCCTCTTGGGTGGTGTAACATGACCTAAGTACCCACTTAGATACCAAGGTTAAAGATAGTATGGCAGTTGTGCCGAAGCCTTGGATGTCATGACTTTCTCCCACAGTTGCAAGTTCTCATGATACAAAGGGAGTGTCTGTGTGTGTTCTCACACGTCCCACAACTGTTAGGGACTGCTGAGTGAGCGTTGGGCAGTTTTATTACTGGAGGAGCGACGTCGGTTGTCCTGGGTTCCCCCAAGCCCTCCTGTACACTTGATGCACCGAGTACGTGGGCTTAATAATCTTGTTAACCCTGAAACGGAGTAACAAACGTGCTCCCAGCTTCGTTTCTCACACCAACTATAAAACAAGAAATGCAAAAGCTCCAAAAATGGGGTCAGAATGCTGACATCTGTCACGAGCCGGTAGACTTATATCCAGTGTGGAAACATCCCCAGCAAAGGGCGCCCTAACAGTTTGCATTGCAAAATTATGAAAACAAACCTTCGTCTCCCTATTTTATCACTGTGTGCTGGTCATTTCACTTATATCATATTAGTAGGGCTTGATATTGTCGCTAGAAGGGCTAAAAAAAGCTTGTGCGAACCAATGATTTAGAGTTCATGTCGACAGGGTGCATTTCAGAACCCTTGAAATTCACCGCAGTGCCAAATTGATGTGCAGACAACATCTTGAATAAGTACTTCATAGGAGGGCTGAAATTTCAGGAATTGGGTCAGCATGCATGCCTCTGTCACAGTTTCCAATGGGAAGATGAATGTTGAAAAGCTCTTGCTGACTATCCACACTGGCACTGATTGATTTCTTCATAAATCATCTTCAGAATCTTGCTTTCTTTACAATGAAAATGATTGGAACATTAGGTGAAGAACCATCCATTTCTTATCACCTGACAGACTGGGTTATGTTCTCTGGTCCTGAAGGATAAAGAAAATGATTGTTGGTCTTTATGGTCATTGTCTGAAATTCATCATACACAGCTCAATTCAAACATGGCGATTAGAAAGCTAAATCATGTTCCCCCATATAGGATTTTTGATGGATCACCAAGCCTTACAAAATACATTGCACATAGCCATGGCATTATTGGGCAACATCACCATTCTGTGTTTCCTTGGTCCTCAGGGTCATAAAAGTAAAGAAAAAGAACAAGTGGAAAACTCGCAGTAAAACTTGAACCTGACTTGTTCACTCCCTAAAAACGTGTTTATCAAGCTATAGATTTTTCCATAAAATTCTTTTCAACATATATATCAAACCAGGAACCATCAAATTGAATCAGTGAGGCCTCAGATCCAGCTTACTGGCCGGTTTGCCTGTAGGTCCAGCAGCAGCGGAGTTGCCGTTATGGCCGCTGGATTGACAGCACGTCACGTCCTGCTGTGTAACAGGTGCCTTCTCTGAGTGAACTTGGCCCGGGTAAATCTTCCGCTGACCTTGCTTTACCAGCATTTCACGAGGGACTGGCGGGGTGTCCCTCTGTGTCCCAAACTCTTTATCATGTGAAGTATTTGTGCCATCCTGCGGGAGTTTGCGACATGTTTTGCTTTGGTGCGGATCAAGGCGGGCCTGTGAATTCCCTGCTGGGGGGTGGCTGTGGCCGGTTTAAGATGAGAACATTGGTCCAGCCACGTCCACCCACCCCCTCCCCGCACACTTCTGATATATTTTAAGCCTGGTCGCCCCAAAATATCCACAGAAACAGAGGGTAGACACACCCTGGTAGGAAACGATCCGACAACCATAATACCGTGAGCTTCCTCCCTTGGGACGACTGTGTACTGTGGGCGGGTGGTGGCTCTGTTATGGAGCAAGGCGGAGCCGCAAAGTCTTGCTGTGTACATTTACACCCCTACAAGGTAGCCTTGGACATGATATCTCATCAGCAGAGTCGACCAGGGGTGTTGGTTCGAATCCCGCTCCCTCTTCGCGTATTGAACTTGTAAGTATGAGAGCTTACAGAGTCTATGGGGACGTAACATCGCAGACATTCAGGCAGCAGCCATCATCGCGTGAGCAGAAAATATTGTTCGAGAAATGTGTGTCAGCCGGAGTACTCAAGAGGCTTGTGATCTTATGTTTGGGTGACATAACTGAGATGGTTGTGGCGGAACAGTTGTCATTGCCAAGGTTTAGATTGATGAGCAATGAGTATGATCCATAACATGTCTGCATCTTTGGGTTTGGGAAGACCGTTGCTGTTTATGCATTGGGATGGATTCCAGTGTTATCATAAGTCACTGTCACTCTGCAGCTGTAAGTGCCTCGTACTTGCAGTTGTCAGTGACTGTGGAAAGCTCAGAAAGGCATCATGGTGCACTGTTTATTCATGTTCAAAGTACTGTATGTACTTGGAGGTATCAAGCTGCTTTAACTTCTTTTCAGTGTCATTTGTTCAGGAGCCTTCTTTTTTTCGGAGGTTTGCAATTCTTTCCATTTCAGTGGGTACTGTCTGCTTCTCATATGAAATATACTTGAAAGGGAGAGTTTTGTATTTCTTGTTCCCTCCTAACTGACATGTGAATAAGAATATTTCCTCTGCCCTCCCAGACGGCATGACCCGCCTGAGCGCCCCAGGTCCTGGCACTCCACTCACGAGGCAATAAACAGCCACCCTGACGTCGTCCCTGACTGGGAACCCATGCCGGTCAGCAGCAACCAAGCAAGGTAACCACTGCTCCCTTTTCTTTTGAAACCCTGCTAGAAATGTATTGGTAGTAATATGTTGAACAATGCCAGAAAAAAAGATCAAGAAGGACAGGAATATGCTCAAAAATGATATATTGTCCTCTCAGGTTGTCTAAGATTATAAAAACAAATACGGGCAGATTTTGATAATTCCTCAAAGTTTTTTTAAACAGGATGAAATAATGTATCAGAGTAGTGCCCTGTGAAGCAAAACTTGTACTTGTTGTAGAATGCTAAAGTCTCTGTAGTTTGCTGTATCAAGAAGTTTAATTTCTGTATGTTGGCATGACTGTAACAACTGAATATCTGTTTTACCTCAGGTACTCCCAGCAGAGAAGGGACAGAGCTGCTTCCTCCTTTGACTCGACAGGCAGAGACAGCAGCAGCATGTTCCACGGGAGCAGCATGGAGAACATGTCCAAATCCAGCTTCGTCTGCGCAAAGTACCAGCCTCCTGCCAGTGCCGGCTTCCCGAAGAAGTCAGGATCTGTGTACGACAAACTGTCCAGCACGGCTGGCATCAACTACAAAGACAGTCTGTCCACGAAAAAGCCGGAGGAAGAGGAACAACATCAGTACCCCCGCTCTCAATCACTAACAAATATGAAGGCCAAAGAACTGCAGCATGCAGACATGAGGTACGTGAAGACGATGTACGTCCCTGGCACGAGGCCAAAGGAGGAGGAAACCGTTTTCAGGCCAACGTCGACGTCTCCGTCGGAGAGGAAACGTAACCGGAGCTCCGGGTCGTCCTCAGACTTCCAGCAGGGGGGGAGCAACCGCAATAGCCTGGGGGTGGACATCCCGGCGCCCCCCTGGAGACGCAGCTCCACCTCCCCCTCCAGCTCCTCTTCCAGCACCACCTCCCCCCAGCTGGGTCCGCAGAGCGCCCGGTCCCCACCCCCACCGCCCGTGCGCGACCAGTCCAGCCACAAGGCGGTCTCCAACATGGTGCACCATTCCAAGTATCCGTCCTGGCCCGGGCCGTCGTCTATGTCTCCCCCGGAGCCTCCCGCAATGTCCAGGTCGCAAGACAATCCGCTGAAAGTGTTAAACAACCCTCCCGCCGGCCACCGAACGTCGCCGGACTATGTGAACCTGGAGGTGTTCCATTACAACGACCAAAGAGGGAACCACGGAAAGCGTGGCTCGCACGGGGACCAATGGGGATCGTTCTCCCAGCCTTCCAACCACCAACGGCCGTACCCGCAGCTTACCGCTGTGGTACACCCAGTCCAACCTGTCCAGCCAAGCTACGCAGACACTGTGGAGATTGGTCAGAACGGCACCTATAAGGTACAGAAGGAGGGGGGTAGGGAGACGGAGAAGGTGGAGTTTAGGGTACAAATTAACATGGACGGGACTCCGAGATATCCCAGTGACAGAAGAGTGCCTTCCCCTCCCGAGAGAGACTTGTCTCCCGAAAAGCAGGTCTCCCCAGCTGCAAAGCAGGTCTCTCCAACCTCAAGGGATCAGAACTTGAACTACATCAACAACCTGCAGAAGAAGAGCCCGAAATACGAAGACTCTGGGTTCTACTATGAAGAGAAGCCCACAGAGGGCACGGTGGCCGCACATAACTATCGCAATGAGAGGGAGAGGCAACAGGGAGCAAACCAATGGTACAATAACAAAAGCAATAACCACTACAGCCGGGAGTTTAAACACATGGAGCCACCAGACCACGACAAACAGAAGCTGACAAAGGAGGTTGGTAAACCCGAACCCAGACACTCCTCACTTACAGCACATCACTCAAGCAGCACAGAAAATGTCACGAGGGAAGACAGCAGTCAGAAGACCGCTGTGCAGCTCTTGAGGAGCCAGTTTGAAGATCCCCTCAAGACACGTTCGATTCTGAGAACAGAGACTGTTAACTTTGGTCAGCCTACGCAGCCAGCCCTCCCTGGAGGGGTGAAGAAGATCGCGAGAGCGCAGAGCGAGCGAGACCTGGAACGCAAATGGTTCCGGGACATGAAGAAGGAACGCTCCATGCGCAACGTGAACGGTGGAATCAACCACCAAGACACCCCACTCATCTTTAACCTGTTCAAGGAGGGCAAAAAGGACCAAGATGCAAAACTCAAGGAGAAGCGGGCTTCCACTGAGATGCTGACGGCACATGCAAAGAAATCTGCCACCCTGCCTGACAACTTGAGATATAACCCTCCTACGTTTGACTACTGGAGGCAGAAGGAGAAGGAACAGACACAACCCAAGGGTAAGAAGACAGACCAAGTAGGGAGGACCGATGACCAAAAGGTGAGGATGCAAGATGAAGCCGGGTACAAAAATTACCTGAAAGAAGCGCAGGATAAGGTCCTTAACCGGACGTCTTACACAAAGACTGAATTTGAACACGTAAGACAGAGAAGTGGTGGTAGCTGGAGGAGCGGCTCTGCAGAAAATTTGTTAGACATCGGGGAGAGATCTCCAAGTCAGCACAGCCCAACGAGCCCTACATGGTCCACGGGAGAACCAGCAAAGAGAAGAAGTGGGTCTGCAGACAACCTCTTGGATGTTGTGGACTCCCGGGTCTCTCCTACACGGAGAAGCCCCACACACTCTGTGTCCATGGAACAGCTTCACACTCCCGTCGAGCCAAAGGAGACGGTCGTAAGAGAAGCCAGGGAAAGTCCCGTCTCCCCAAGCCAGTCTCTAGCTCACCTAGAGGGAATCAAAGAGACGGAAGAGCATCCTGAAGAGAGGAAGAGTCGGACCGTCTCAGACCCGCAGAAGCCAAGAACGAAGAGTGTGTCTGCAGGGCATCTCCGGCACAGGACGCCTGAATGGGAGGCCAAACGGCAGCAGTGTAAGTCCGAACCCGACCTCTTGGGAAGTCAGGAGGCCCAGAGTCAGCAGACGCTGGACAGTCAGTACGGAGGGTCGGTCACGTCGCTGTCTAGTGAGCACCGTTCCGATCCTGACGGAAGAGAAGAGGAGAGGATGAGGATGAGGGAGGCGTTGAAGTGGTTCTATGAGAAGAAGACGGGGAACAAGGTCCACGGCATCAACAGAGGAGCCTCCACCAGCAGCATCAACAGCGACAGCGGTTACACGAGCAACAGGAACTCCCTGGCGTCGCAGAGAGCAGCTAGCGTGAGCTCGCTGGAAGGCAGCCGGGTGCAGACGCCCGTGGAGGGTGCGAGAAAACCCCGCCCATCCTCGGGACATGTTCGCGACCCAGTACCGCAGCAGGCCCGCGACAAGGCGCAGTCCCTGCCTCGCATGACCGGCCCACCCAACTTCCAAGGGCTGCAGACCATGCCCGTTCCAGGGGGGAAAGAGATGGTAGGGAGGCCGACCGCTCCTCATCCCTGGAAGGACAGGAAAGTGAGTGCTCCTCCAGGACATCTGCATCAGACCATCGCAGACTTCAGACCGGCATCACCAGCTAAAGGCAGGGCCGCTTCGGTGTGTGACACGTCTGATACCAGACCTCTCAGACCGCAACACGGCATCCCTGTGGTCAAGCCTACCCCATCTCCCACAGAGACAAAAGAAGTGGACAGAAACATGCCCAGTCCACAGGACAGACTGCCGGGCGACCGCTCATCTAAGGATTCCTCTCCCTCATCAACCGAGGAGAGGCCGGGTAGGGGGTTACCAAAGGACGGTGACAGAAGAAAAGAGTCCTCTCCTCCATACCAGGAGGGCAGACTCAGGAAAGTCGGAAGGATGGAGGAGGAAAGCTCCTCTGCAGAGGACGCAAATTCTGCAAAACACCATCCACCTAGAGAGGCAAGGGAGGCCCCAGTGGCTGAGGAGAGAGTACAGGAGCAGGAACCAGTGCAGAATACGCCACATGTGGAAGTTAAACAGAGGCAGACCAAAGAAACTGTGGTGACCATTACACTCCAGCAGGTGAGTATGGTTAAACCATACCTTTCCTTCCTTTGTGTATTGTTAATGATCATGATCAAAAGTTTCAGTGAGCTGGGGACATTGACTGTAGTGTATTCTCTGCAGCAACATTGTGATTTCAAGTGTGCACAGTGATGCCACCTTGCACTTATTATAAGTACTGCACTCCAAAGCACAGAATGGTAGTGGGGGAATCTTTCAAGTTCAATATTTCTATTACCATAACAGTTGAGAAATATCTAAAAACTGTCATCATACTCATTCCTTCAATCTTTTTTTCCTGCAGAAGCAGCAGAAGCCGTTACCGCCTGTTCCTGAGAAGGAGGTTTTACCAAACGGAGTTCCTGAGGAGAGGAGAGACAGCGACAACATCTTTGTCTTCCCTCAAGCTGAGCCTGCTCCAAGGTATTTATCATGCCGTTTACTTCATCAGTTATTACATCATTAGGCCACATCAGTTAGATTTCTTGTCAGTGAACTACTAGTAGTCGACATCAAAGCAAAGTCTGAGGAAAAGGTGTTTCATTGGGTGGAAACAGTTAGTAGGTGAAAACCTATTACAGCTCCGGAGGAGAGGATGTAGGACTCAGGAGCTATAATAGGTATGGCAACCAGGCTAGGATACAGTCAAGTTCAGGTCTTCCTGTTTTCTTTTTGTCTTCCTTGTTTCCAAGAACCAAGGAAATGAATTGGTGTGGCCTAATTGGTCGGTGATTTTTATTTTGCAAATATCTCAGGGAGCCTGTATCCCCACATTAGTGGAGTTGAATGCTCAAATTTGATAATGAATCTGGAGGAATTTGTTGGAGAAAAGTCTTCATATTTTGTAGCCAAAGTTGACCAGATACTGACAGAGATATCACAGGAAATTCCCAGCCAAATCTGGCCTGACCAGTTGGGTGGGTGCTTGTGGTTAGGGGGTGCCATTCTGTGTTCTTCCCAGCCCATTACTCATAACCACACATGTCTGTCTGCAGGGGCTGAGCAAATGTTTTGTCCTCAGGGAGTCAGGATTGGTTAAAAACTGTGCCCCGCTGGGTGGGGGGTGGCTTCCTGTGTAGTCTATCACTGAGTCCACCAATATGGCCTGTTAGGGAGTTGGTTACTGAGAAATAGGTATGGATAGTCTAGGGGGTGAACTACACACAACGTTTTGAATGAAGATGACCAATGTAGATGTCCAATTTGGCCTGGTTACTAGACTAGGAATTTTGGTACAGCTTTAATATAGTGTACTGGGAATCTAGGACTGTCATCACATGCCCCAATTTGGCCTTTTAAAGTCAGTTACCAAGAAAGTTTGACAAAAGTTCACCGAATTAAATGTTCAATGTAATAATCTACAGAACAGTATTTGCATTTGCACCTTGCTTTTAGAGCAACAAAAGTGAATAGTACAATTTGTGATGTGTGATATACATCTTTGTGTGGTGATTAACGGATGTACCCCCTCCTAATGAGTCATTTAGATGCCATCAGCCTGATCAAACTAATCAATTGGAGGTTTTTCACGCCTAGTTACTTCTGCCCTGCCCCCTCCCCCTCCTGCTGGGCTACTGTCCTACACCAGGTGTGAGGGGTGCAGCATATTCATGGCCCCTGCCTGGGGGTGGAATCTCTGCTGCCATCTGTGGCCCTACCAGTGATGTAACGCTGGTCATTTCCAAGTCAGAAAAGCTCTTGGAATTTGAGAACACTCTGTAAACATCTGAAGAAAATTCCTCAGAAAAAAGTGGAGCTTTCATAAGCAGAGCAAAGCATACACTTTCAGTTGATATATGAGACATTTAACATGCTTTTGGCTGTTTTGAACAAAGTTGCTGTGGTCAGTGCTGCAACATAATCTGTGTAAGTTTTTCCAAAGGCAACATCTTTGCAAAAAGTACAAGGTTTACAGACAAAACTTTCAGATTTACAGATAATAGCTTCTTCTGAAGGCAGATGTTCTCACAGGCCAAGGTCTGTGTTGCACAATAAACAAGATGTGGTTTGCAATCTTTTCACTTCTGAAGGAGACCATGATGAGAACAGGAAATGCTGTACATATTTCCCAAAGATGTCCTGCTAAGGTGTCAATGGCTGTTTTGTTATTGTTTCTAGTGTTTGTTTTGATATTGAAAATAGCAGAACCTGGTATGTCAGCAGTATTATTAGTCAGACTTCCAACAAGTACCAGTATGTCAGAAAACAATTGTTGTTAGCCTATTTTTGTGAACCTTTGGAGGTTCTTGTCAAATGAGGAAAACATTCCCTGGAAATTCTATTTCTAATTGTATCCATCAATCAATGGCATCTTCCTTTGAGTCCTGTAAAATTTCCCATCTTCCTGAGTTCACACTTGGGCTAAGTGAGTGATTACCAGAGGTGGGAGTCCCGAATGTGGTGCTAATTTTCCTGCTGACAGCTGCCACCCCCATGCACCTGTTGAGAAGGGTCCATGTCTGTCTGCATGCTGCCTGATTCACCCTACACCAGGGCTGGGGGGAGCCTGGGGACATAGGTGTTGAGTTGTCCAAACCTGCATACTGGACGCTAGGAAAAGTTTATTGGAAAGAAAGTGCCTGGAGACCTGAAAGCACAGTGGCCACACTGTATCTTACACAAGCAGGCTCACTTAGTTGAATTACACCAAAGGCAGTTGATTTGTAAATTCATTGAGCAACGCAACTAAGGAAGAATTCGTATACATGTATTAAAGAATTCTTAAGGCCCTATCCTCTGTGCCTATCAAATAGTCCAAGGACAGTGCTGAATCGTCCAAACCTACTTCCTGATGTTGGACAGTGGTAACCCAAAGCTTATGTTGTCAACCCTTGTTTTGATACATGTGTATTTTCTCCAAGGTCTGTCTCCACCCAGTCCCATTCCTACTACATCAGCAGTGGGGGTAGCCTAGGGACGTAGGTGTTGAGTTGTCTGAACCTGGTTTCACTTAAAATGCTTCCTCATACTGGACAGTTGTAAACTAAAGCTTATGATGACATGTCTGCCTTGTCAGGGCACCTTAGTGCAGTTTGGTGGTTTCCAGATTCAGAAAATAATGCTGAACCTGGAAGAAGTGTATGCTTTTCTTCAAATTTCCCTCTAAGGCCATCAAACTCAAGACAGTACCCACAAAAGGACCAAGTTGGAGACAGTAGAGCAAGACTCTTTGGGTTTGGAAATGGGATAATGCCTGGCGACTGTTTCAAGACAGTCCAAATATTATGTCAGACTCTCTCGAAGTTATGCTGATCTTGTGGCTTTAATTTACTCAGCTAGTACCAGATTTCTGGTTGCTTGTTTGTCATTCTGTACACCTGGGGACTTCTGACCTCACCTCTCTGCACCCCTCCCCTCCCCATGACATTGGAGGTTTGAGGTCACTGGTTTGGAAGCCCTGCTTATTTTGACTTCCTGAAGGGATAACATTCTTCTCCACTGCTTCACTTCCCACCAGGTGCTTTCAGTTAGCCACAAATTGCTTCCAAAGGGATTCACAGAGATATAATTAGAATTTCATAACACGGGCATAATGTACTTTCATTAGGTGCAATGTTTGGGCCTGTGCAGACTGTGGTAATAATAGGAATGTTTCTCAGGGGAGGGAGGGAAGCCATACTGGGATTTGGGTTCAGGCCTTTGACACTGAGGTGTGAAAATCAGTTTTCCATACAAAGTCATTGTCTAGCAGCTGGATTTTCCTACATTTCACACTATCGGGTAAAACCTTGAGGAAAACAAGTTTTGTTTGATCATACCCGTAATTTGTGTTTGTAGCTTCTTTTTCAAATTATTCTGCTTATTTGATGAATATAACTTTTTTGACGAGAAGCAGCAAATAGATTTGATATGGCCAGGAATGATTTGCAAGTCATATGATTCCCATCCTGTGTCCTGATTGGATGGTGAGTCAATTGCTCACTTGGTAGTCCTCTGGGGAAACAAAAGGCCTTGTCTCCACACTGAGCCTGAGAGAGCCAGTCTGAGAGAGACTCCACTTCGCCCTGCTGAGAGCTTCTGTTATCACCATACTACGCTGGCACCATGAGTCTACACCAGACCTTACCAGACTTGGTCTTAATTTTGCAGAACAGGTGAGCTTTTGGCAAAGCCAGGCCTTGTTTCCTTTGGAGTTGTGCCACAATGTTTTTAGAGGGCTGAGAACCCAGATGGTTAGGATTTCTGTTGCTGGTTCTGTTCAGCCTGAAATGTTTGCATTTTGTTGGTGTGAAAACCTGTCATTGTATTCAGATCTAGAGCAGTGATTTACATTTATCTGATGCCTATTTTCGAGAAACAACATGAGTCAGCAGCATACAAGCTGAAGAATGTCTGCATTGTCATCTTATTTATATTTTGTACCTCATCAGTTCAGAGTTGGTTACTCCAGGTATGAGTTGTTTTATGTCTCTAGGGGATTGCTATCTTGGTGGTCTTGAGCTTATAACATATCATATCCTCAGTGCTAGGGGCTGTCTTCTTACCTCACATTACAGAGGGCCTGCAAGGGGGGTAGTGATTACGAATTACGCAAAAATTTCGCCGCCTATTACGAATTACGTTAAAGTTTCAGAGCTGACTACGACTTTACGATTTGCGGCTAATGTCCAATTACGAATTACGTTGATTTTTGCGGAGGCTGCCTACGAATTACGAAGTCTAAAACGGCCTGATTACGCCTTACGAAAAAGGGCTTGCAGGCCCTCATTACACACCCTGAAGCAAGACATTATTCTCAGCCAGTGTCAGTAGAACATATGGTCAGAGCACTGTGGTACAATGAGGCCTTTGAGGTCAGCAGATGTCAGAAAACATCAGGTCCATTCCCATGGTTGGCTCAAAATCTGTGCACGATATACACTGTGGAGGCCACCCGAATTCAATTTGTTGGTTCTCATATTTTGAAACGTACTGGTAAATACTGAACTAAAAGATGAATATACAAACCAAGTTGGACTCAAACAAAGTAGTACCTTGTACACTAGTAATAGTGGATGCTGTCCTATCGTTTTCACTTTGAAATGTCTGAAAACCAAAGAAGTACATGTAGATTGGTGAGGCCTTGTAGATAGACTGAGTGGGGGAGTGAGTATTTCCCAGGGTGGGACCCAGCCCATTTCATTGTTAGGGTTACAGAAAACATGAAAGCTTCTCGGTAATCGCATTTTACTGTCTTTCCCACAAATCTTGGGAGGGTAGTTTTGTTTGGCGACCAATGGAACAGCTTCTGTGAGATTAGATATCTTCATGTAATTTGTAAAAATTCAGTGGTGCAGACTGAGGCGGATAACAAGGTAGACATCTGAATTTATAGCTACATTTGCCATAAGCAAGCCTTTCTGGGAGGGAATGTGTTACCTTCCTGCCACCTTGATAAACAGTTATGAGATCCCATGTGCCTCTCTAAAGGGGCTCCCATAGGA